CACACACACACACACACACACACACACACATGCTTACAGTATACAATTAATCAAAAAGAACTATGAATACACAGACAATCACACACACACACACACACACACACAAACATTTACACACATTTGCTCACCCTCTAACAAACACACACACTAGTGGACCACAATTAAAGCAGTAGTGTGTGTATGTGTGTGTGTGGTGCATGCTCGTGTGCGTTTGTGTTTCCACAGGTGGCTTCTTCCTCCACAGGCATTAAATGCGTATTACCTGCCAAACAAAAACCAGATGGGTGAGTGTGAGCACACACACACACACACACACACACACACACACACACACACACACACACACACACACACACCTGCTGTAACGCTGTGAGGTGTGTTTTCAACAGATTTTTGTTTTTACTCTCCCGGATGCATTCAGTTCATCAAACGTGCAACAAAACACCTTTATAATGTTAACTAATAAAGCAAATAAATCACCTTACTGCAAGAAGGTCTCTGGTTCGAGTCTCGGCTGGGTCAGTTGGCGTTTCTGTGTGGAGTTTGCATGTTCTCCTCGTGTTGGCGTGAGTTTCCTCCGGTTGCTCCGGTTTCCCCCACAGTCCAAATACATGCGCTATAGGGGAACTGATCAACTAAACTGGCTGTAGTGTATGAGTGTGTGTGTGTGTGTGTGAATGAGTGTGTATGGGTGTTTCCCAAAACTGGGTTGCAGCCGAAAGGACATCACTGTGTAAAACATATGCTGGAATAGTTGGCGGTTCATTCCCCTGTGGCGACCCCAGATAAATAAAGGGACTAAGTGAAGAAAATGAATGAATGAGTTTCCACATGAATATGAAGCGGCACAACAGTTTTCAACACTGATAATAATAATAATCATAAATGTTTTTGATCATCAAATGCTCATAATAAAGTTATTTCTGGAGGATCACGAACACTGAAGACTGCAGTGATGATGCTGAAATACAATAGATTGTAAATTAGTAGCCCTTCTGTGAAATTTGTATTATTTTTCATTTATTTCCTACGTGCTACATGTTCCTATACGAGCCACTAATATTGACCACAACAGTTTTTACTTTATTTAGTTTATTGATTTATTTATTGATTTATTAATTTATTATTTTTTTATTCATTCATTCATTTATTTATAATAATTGATTATTTATTGTTATAAATTATGCATTTATTACGATGTATTATTAATTGTTTATCCTTCATTTATTCTTTCTTTATTTAATTATTTTTGTTTATTATAAATTATTTATTTATTTTGATTTTATTAATTATTAATAATTGTTTATTCTGTTTATCTTTTATTTATTTATTTACATTATTAAATAAATAATCATTCATCTTTTAATTAGATGTTAAACCGAGGTCCCGACTCTCTGTGGTCGTTAAAAATCCCAGAATGTCCTTCGAAAAGAGTAGAGGGTTTAACCCCGGCATCCTGCCCAAATCTGCCCACTGACCTCTGTCCATCATGGCCTCCTAACCCTCTCCATATCATAATTGGCTTCATCACTCTGTCTCCTCTCCACCAATCAGCTGGTGTGTGGTGTGCGGTCTGGCGCAAAACGGCTGCCGTCACATCATCCAGGTGGATGCTGCACACTGGTGGAGGATGAGGAGATTCCCCCCCTATATGTGTAAAAGCGCTTTGAGTGCCCAGAAAAGTGCTATATAGATGTAAGGAATTATTATTAATATTAAGGAATTATTTGTTCATAAATACTGAATGATTATTTATTTATTACAATTTATCAATAATTGTTTATTTTTTATTTATAGTTTCTTTATTTAGATCTATGCAATATTTACTTTATTTATTTTCATTATTCATTCATTTAGAGCAATTCTTTATTTGTTATTATACATGATCTTTTAACATGATTTTATAATAATTATTATTAATGATTATTTATTCTTTATTTATTCTTTATTCATTTCTTCATTTACATTATTTATTTCTAATTATTTATTTAATGTTTTTAATTATTTATTTATTATGATTTAATAATAATTACTAATAGTTTTAATTTACATTATTTACATTATTAATTTAGAAAAATTCTTTGTTTATTAGTATAAATTATTTATTTATTAGAATTTATTAATAATTCATTCTTCATTTAGTTATTTACATTATTTATTTATTTTTCTATAATAAATCTTTATTATTATACATTGTTTATTTATTATGATTTAATAATAATGATTTATTGTTTATTTATTTACATTATTTCTTTATTTATAATAATTATTTGTTTATTAGTATATAAATTATTTATTTATTACGATGTATTAATAATCGATTATTTATTTATTATTTATTTATTTACATTATTTTTTATAATTATTTTTTATGTATTTAAATATTTATTGATTAATTTATTATTGATTTAATGATAATTATCAATAATTTTCATTCTATATTTATCAACATTATATACATTATTAATTTATAAGAATTCTTTGTTTTTACTATTATAAATTATTTAGTTTTTACAATGTATTAATGATTTTTTCTTTATTTATTTACATTTTTTTATTTGTACTAATTATTTATTTATTATTAAATATTACTTATTACAATTTATTCATATTTTTATAACAATATTTATTATTTTTTCTATATTTATTTATTTTTGTTCCAACTAAAATCCAAACCAAAATCAAATCAAACCAATCCGACCAAAACTAAAAACCAAACTAAAAGAAAATAATAGTAAATACTGTGAATTATTTCATTAAAAATTAAACAGTATTTCACAGGAAAGTGAATTATAGCAGTAAATATAGAAAATAGTTGTATTATTGATATAGAAACACAAACATGTTTTTGCTGCATACGTTATTAAACAAAAGCTTCTCTGGTGAGCAGACGAGATTAATAAATGCTATTGTACAGCTTTCCTCTGATGTCTGTTGTTTTGAAGTTGTTTTTCAGTCTCACATAATCCCGTCTGTGACAATGCCTTAATTTGTTTGTATTAATTAATTAGTTTTTGAGCTGCACTTCACAATAAAGATGATTATTCAGCGTTTATCTTCTTTATTCTTGTTAGAGAATCAGTGCAGAAACACAGACACAAACTTTTTATTAAATATATTTATATATATATATATATATATATATATATATATATATATATATATATATATATATATATATATATATATATATATATATATATATATATATATATATATATATATATATATATATATATATATATATATATATATATATATATATATATATATATATATATATAAATATATATATATATGTGTGTGTGTGTGTGTGTATATATGTATATATATATATATAGATATAGAGATATATA